AAGCGATGGAGGTGTGACAATTTTTTATGGATATGCAAATTCAATTTTATTTATTATTCATCGGTAATTTATAGGTGAGTTCGTTATATAAAAATCAGGATGAATATTTATAGTAGTTTTTAAAGTTGGATATTCAGAATTTTTGATATAAAAATTTATAACATGCTGTCAAAGGTAGGTTATATAAGCTATAAATCTCCTTTCATGGGCCCTATAAATATTTTTAAATATTTTCTAAATTAAAAAATCAGAATTTTTGAATATTTATTATAGGTTATATAAGGGAGAATGTGTCGATGTATCCCATTTTTAATTCCAATCATCCTAATATTAGCAATGTGCTCTCAACAGACCTTATGGGTGGAAGGGTATAAAACGTTTATTCTGTCGCATATATCAGGATTTGTGTCAGAGATATAACTCTGTGCGACAAAATTTTGGGAAGTGGAAAATTCCTATTGGGTATGAAATCAATCCCAGAAGAAAAAAATCTCATGGTCAATGTTCGAAGATATGGCGTGATAATTTTTAAACTTCATATCTTGATTGTACGTATCTTTAGAGATTACTTTTCGCCCTTCTAACTCGATTCCTTGTGTGTCCTTTTCGTCTTTAATTAAGGAACCGGACTCCAGTTATCACAATATATTCCTCATAATATTGAGAAAAATGTTACGATTTTAGGTGGGATGTCAAAGACGAGAAATCCATACATTACCTTTTTGATGATTCTTTTTCAATTTTACCCGTGTCATGTTACTAAAACCCTATATGTATGTTCTTCAAAAAATTCAGTTTACATTCTTTATTATGAAGAAATGTCGGATTCGTCCGAATTATTAATTTAAAAAATATAGAGAAGCAAATTCCGGGGAGGAAGCGGTTTTTCTAATTTTCGGATATGAAACTGATAAGCCAAGATCTCCAAATTTTGACGAATTGTTCCTTTGATGTTTTCATATACTCACCAAGGTCCATGGCCTCGATTTTCTCTCATCATATAATCAGAGGAGAAGCCAAACGATGGTATCCAATATTGACCGGAAATTTGAACCGGATAATAAAGAAACTGAGCACGTCATATCTCCGAACTTTGACGAATTTTCCCATGTGGAGTTTTTCTATATACTCACCAAGGTCCATGACCTCGATATTCTCTCATCATATAATCAGATGAAAAGCCAATCGATGGTTTCCAATATTTACCAAAATTTAGCATTAATTTATGTAACAATTTTAAGTTTTGTAAAATTCCGACCAAGAATAATTTCACAAATAATTTTTGAGTATTGAAAAAAAATTATCGTTCTCAATTACCACCCGTTTTAAGTATGATCATTTCCTTATAGTCTGTCCGCTGCTGGTCTTTTGGGATTGGAACTGCTAACTACTTGTCTCACTTTCACAGTTCGTATTCGAAACCACAATGTCTTGAATGCGTTCGTGTCTTGGTTGCTTTTGATGTTTGTAACATTAACACGAACACGATGAACTAAATGCCGCTGGGGAATGTTAAAAGTCTGGTGACGTTATAATATCTGACAAACAAAACAATTTATATTGTAGCATGATGATGCAGAGAAAGATGGACAGACAGACAGTCGGACACAGGGAGAGTGTACGCACGCCAAAGAAATTCCCTCAATCATTGCGGTAGTTAGTGGTTTGCTGCTACCCAGCTAACTAACTAGCAAATCATCATCATACTCCAAGAAGAATGAATAATACAAGAAACGACATTGATATAAATATAAAGGCCTGGCAGGCAGACCGAAAGACGGACAGACATACGGCCAGGCACGCTGGCAATCTGTTGGACTTATCCGGGCGTTGTGGATATGTGCTGCTTGTTGTTATAGTATTTCGTGTAAATGCCATAACAAACAACGTTACGTTTGCTCCATTACTGTGGCCGCTTGCTACGAAGTCCCCACAAACTTATACCGACCGATGCCGACATATGCAGAGGCATGGCTGACGCCACCATGTAGTAGATTTCTCATATTGAATATGTGACGTTTTGCGTTAAGAAGGCCGTCGTCAGTGCCAGACTGCCTGTTTGCTTGCCTGACTTATCGTACGTTTTAGGTGTGTGTATGTGTTCGTCCAAGGTGCTACTACTTGCTACTGTTGCCTGGTATTGGTTACCACCGGCTAATTCATAATCAAAAAGCGCCAACCGCCGTCATTTGGTTTTTTTGTTGTTGTTATTTGGGCGCCACATTGTCTGGCTTAACTGTTACGTTTACGTTTTGTTTTAATACTGCCTGTCTGCCTGCCGGCTGTCACCTCGAACGGTCTGTGGTCATTTAAGTCATTTTTAATGGCCTGGGTTTTTTGTTGCGTTTGGTTTCTTACAGCATTACGTTCCGAACAAAGTATTTGAATAAGTGTCGTTTTTTTTTTTTGGTCTGAAGGGGGGTCTAAATGTTGTCATCATTTCATGTTGGACTGAAGTGTTATGTATTGTGGAGGGGGTTAGCATGTCACACATGTCTATCGCTCTTTTAATCGTCATGGCCTATGACAATTATTAATACATTAAATGTCAACAAGTTTTACCTTTGGCGTTGTCATTAAAGAACACTGCTTTTGGAAAAGTTAAGTGATGGATCAGGGGGTATAGAGATGGATGGGTTATCTTGGGTAGAGGAAAAGAGATGACCATTGTCAATCTTTAAAGGTGATTAGATTTTATTTGTGTATATTTTTTTAATATTGGAATGAATCTAAAAAACAGATTTTATAAAGAAATATATTTAGAGGGTTGGATATAGGAGCCATGCTTCCTGAGTCATCAAAAAACCTTTTTATAGTCTCCCATCTTAGTTTTGTGGCATGTAATGAATGGATTAGCTTAGGTTATAATAAAATTTCAAAAACGAAATATTGACTCATTATTTCTTTTTATTTAATATTTACAGTGATTATTTGTTAATTTGTCATCTTCGACTAAATTACCCAAAAGTAACTAAAAAGCGGAACAAAGAAATGTTCTTTTTTTGGCTTATCATTTAAGCCCACAACAAAGTTGTTTTCCTTCTTTGACAAGTGATACGATAATTTATCATAAAACTTGACTGTCATTAATTTCAATTTTCTAAGTGTTCGACACACACCGAAGAAAAAAACCATTCATATTCATGCCATTCTAAGCTTCGTTTCAATAGCCGGTGAAGTCAAACCGCACCACACACTTGTGAGGAAAATGTGGATATTTTCCTAAGTATAACGTCTAGCATGTTTCGTGTGTTTTTTTGTTCAAACGTCTTTCTGTTTTTCTTTTTTGCCGGCATCGTGTCTATGTTTTGATGACTTTGATGAATTTGTGACACACCAGACAGAAGTTACGTTAGATGTGTTCGATGTTAGACATTTGCCAGACAGGCAGTTAGACTCAATGTTAATTCTTACGAACGACGATGACGACAACGCAATGCGATGAAGGCATAAAAGCGTTTTGTATGGATCTTTTTTTCACTTTCCGTCAACACAAAGCGCCAATAGTAGTAGTAGTAGTCTGGGCAACAGCAGAAACAACAACAAAAACCCACCAATGAACTTTTGAACAACAATAGAATGTGGCAACAAAACAAATCCATGATGAATCACACGAATGGAGTGACTAGCTGACGGCCTGAATCGTTTTTTTTGTTTTGTTCTTTTTTGTGGTAAAAAATTATTATGCAATATTTTTTTCCTTGTGGGGTCGGTTTTTGTTGTTTTGTTATATATTTTCATGGAAATTCATTGTCAAGGCAACTGGCGAAAAGTTAATGACTCTGTCAACAGGATTTTAGGATACTTGATCCCATAAATGTTTGTTTGGTCGTTTTTTTTTATCAAAGTAAAGGTAAAAGACCTTTTCTTCTTTTACTAAAAATAAGTTCAGAAGTTTGTTGTCATTAGAAGGTCAAGGATGAAAAAAAAGAAAAAATATCATAGAATTTGAGGCAGGAAATATTCTTCAAACATAATATCAAAGTTGTGGATAAGAAATCTAAATTAATCGAATGAAAAAGTAAAGGAAGATTGTTCGAAGATATTGATGGCAATTTACAGCAAACTCTATGGAAATGCTTTTAATTATCAGTATAAAGAAAATCTTTAATTGCGATAAGATTTATTTTATCAAAACTTATTTAATTCTCAACGTTGCACAGTGGGTAGGAAACTATTTTTTTTTTTTTGCACAAAAGGGCATTTCAGGTAGAGCCGATCAAATGTTATATATTTCATATCTAGAGACTTTGAGCTTTACGCCAGTAACATTTTATAGCATTGTGGGTTACGGCTTAGAGATGACATGTTAAAGTCAACATTTCATATTTTTGTGAATATAATTTATTTTTAAAAAATTAAATAATTAAAAAATGAAAATTAGCTTTTACTAACATAACATGCTATTTACGGTAGCCCCCATATAATGGTACCTCTAATGTTGTAATTTGGTATTTTGAATTCTGATTGTATGTAAAACTATCAATTTTGACATAAGTTTCGGGTTAGGCCCCACATAAACGGACCACTCATTATTTGGTAGTTTGGAGATTTTCACCACGCTCTTCAACTAAATTCAAATTTAAATTAAGGCATGCCATACTTTCAAGAACATAATACATAAAAAATACGATTTCATGCTATTCTGATGTTTATAAAGACACATTTAGTTTTTTATGTTTGCCACCAGTATGGATTCATTTTATTTGATTTTCAATATTTTATTTTTAATTTGTAATTTGAAACCATAACTCTACAAAACGAGTTTTCAAAATAATTTGATTAATTTAACATTTAAAAAATATGATGGTTATTTTCGACCCATCTTATTGATTTTATTCCATTTCTTGCAGAATCGTAATCAGCTTCCTTGAAACCCTTATATGTGTGATTTATTTATTTCATAAAACCCACTGCTCTAATTATGGTAAAAATGGAGGTATTGCAATATATTTGTATTCAATACATTTCAGTATTTTATTATCAATTTTGCAACTTACCCCTGTTGTTGGTGTTGTACTACCAGCTGGAGTTTTTCCTTTGCCGCGACCACGTTTTGACTCTGGACGCACGGGTTGGCCATCGGGTCCATAAACAACCTGCAACAATGAAAAAACAATTGTATTAATATTAAAAATAATTTAGAAATATAAATAAATAAATTATAGTTATTTTTTTAGTTTATTTGAATTCATTTTGATTTAAACAAAACCATCAAACACCAAAATTAAATTCAAAATCCAAATTTTCTGTTATATAATTAAAAAATTGTGTTTACAGTCGATAATACTGTTCACAATTAAATATTCACCACAATAAACCATTGTAGATAATACAGTTGTTAAACTCAACATAACATTATTTCGACTACATAATACCAGATGGCGCCCAATCACTGAGCACATAGTTTGTGACTCCACTAACGGTTCAAATTGGAAACGGCCTTGCCAACTTGAAATTGAGATGTGCGAATGTTAAGTGTAGTGTTGTGTATAGTCAAGACATAAATCAATACCCTCCATGGTGAAGTTGAATTTAAGAGCAAGCAAAGTCACTAACCATAGCAATTCAAGCAAATTCGAAGACAATAACAAATTACAGTGTGGCCAGATTTGGAATGTTTGAAGGATACTATTGGATGGGATTTTAAAACGCGGGGGGACACAACATTTACATTACCACTTCAAATAATATATCATAAACAATGGCTAATATAATCAACTCAAATATGAAAGTAAAATACAATGCAAATTCCTCTTTTAAGCTATCAGAATATTTTTGCATCGGTCACAACTATGGTGTAAAGATATCATATTCTGACATTGGCTTAAGATTTTGTAACATAAATATTGGTTCTGAATACACATTTTAGTATACCGATAATAAAAAAAATATCATATTAGGGTCTTACATGTGATTAGATTTTCCCCCTTTAATAATATTTACGACATATGTTAAGCGGTTCGCTTCACGATATGGACAACACAAAATTTGCTGATTACCGATTAATATTAGAGAATAAAATGCCTCTTTTTTTAGAAAACAACTCAGTTCTTTCATAAGCCAATATTTGTATTTTTTTAGAATGGAGAAGAAATTCTCAAATTTTATGTACAATAAAATATTCAGTTTCAAACTACATCCAATTTATTTAATATAAATTAGAAATGTAAAATGTTATTTATTTTCCCTTCTGTGAGCTCAATTTGCAAAATAGTGCGCATGTGCCCCTTTGAAATTATTCACTTCAACTTTTCTTCTAGAAAAACTTATCTTAGTCTATATAAATATGGCTGTCATTTTAATTGTCTGAGCACATGTCGACAATGACATACAAAATCTAGAGGATTCCTAGCAGCTATAAAAATAGACCAAAATTGTGAATATTCAACAACATGAAAAATCTATAGCAAAGAATAAGAGGAAAAAAAATACAAAACATTTAAATGACATTTTTTCTTTACAGCGAATGGTGATGATGATGAAGTGCAGCAACGCATCACGCAAATGTCCATGGGGAGGAAGTGTGTGTGTTGTTGTAAAAATGGAACAACCAAACAGGAACCACACGAAACATGTGCATATTTCTAGAACCCCAACGATGCACACGATGCAGATCGGCAAAATGAGGGAGATAAAAATGCCTGAAACACATACCGTTATATGAGTGATATATATACGAATACAAATAAGTAAATATTCCAACTTAATGCATTTATTTTTAAATTTCAAATGAACAAACACTCAGAACGACAAAAGTACACGGTTATTGTCTTAAAGGCGGCTGTTGTAGATTTTTCGTCTGACTGACTGCAAAGACTTTAAATGTCATCTTATGTTTGCCTGGAACTGATCTAAATTTAAACCATGTCGCACATATGGCTAACTATGGATGTTCGTGCGTCTCGAAGTCTTAATCACTTCACGCAAAAGAGGGACGTTACGTTGGACGCGTATCTGTAGTTTCAGTTTTCATGAAATATGCATTTTTCTTTCTGAAGCCCTGTTTCAGAGTTAAACCCTCTCAAAGAGCAGCAAATGGTGGTGGTGGTGGCGGCTACAAATGTTTTCCATTCTGTTCTGTTTTTTGGGGGGAGGAACTACAACATTGTCTCTCACTTAAATGTCACATTTTGGGTGTCTTCACTTGTCTCGGTTTTATGTGTCTCCCAACGTAAGTGTGTGTGTGTAATGTTAAGGAGTTTAAGTGACATTTTTATGTTTCAAGTGTTTCCTTAAAGTTTCAAATTACAAAAATTTCAATTCTCTTCCATAGAATACAAATTTCAATTATAATTTGAGATAGGCAGATGTTGTTGTTACGGAATTTATGGCTATCTTAGAGAGAGTAATTTCCAGGAAGTACTTAAGCTACTTTAAATTGTCATTTATTGATGTTTTCGAAAGTTGAAACACTTAGTTCAATTGATGGGAAATTTTGTGTTTTTTCGTTTAAAATGGGAATCCATGGAATTTGTACAGATGTATGTTTCATATATTTAGATGTCATTGTGGGAAAAAATTAAGAAGTCAATATGATTTAAAAAAAAAAATTTAAAAACAGATATTGTATTTTATTAATTTTTTTTTCAACACTAAGAAATTTTATTTTGTATATTTCATCTTATTTTTGATAAATTCTAATGAAAAAATATTTTTTTTAAATTTAATATTTTTAAACTTTTATAATTATATTTCACTAATAAAAAGGGATTTCATAATATTCCAGAGTAAAAAAGTTCTGTCAAAATCAAATTTAAAGTCATAGATTTAATATCTGAAAATACTTATTTTTTCTAAAAAATCTCACTCTTAGAATACTAATATTCAATAGTTTGTAACATTTTGCTCCTAGATCTATATTGTATAGCGATCTACCAAAAAATCTGGCGTAAGTATTTTATAATATTTACGACATTTGTCAAGAGGTTCGCTTCTCCATATGGACAACACCAGACTTTTATATAAGGGTCAGGTCACAACATTTTTGTCGGGATTACTAGTCGTAAAAAATCCTTAAAAAATCAATCGTAAAAAAATCCTGAATCCCAATTCATATCCTTAATAACAACTTAATAATAATTCTAACCCAACAATTTAATCACTTCCCTTGCTATAAATTTATGCCATACAATTTAATTATTAAAGCCTTTACCATTCCATACAAAAAAGGGGTTTCCCTCAAGGTCACAACCGCATCACAGAAAATTAATTATAAACAAACCCCCAAAACATTTATTAAAGCGAACAAATTGCCAACACCATCATCAAAATTTCCTATGTCTGCCGACACAACAAATATTCAATCAGTGTATACGTGAGTGTGTATTTGTGTTTTGTTTGTGTTTTTCTTAATGGGCACAATGAACTTTTATTAACCCAAATATATATCTGGCGACGAATGTCCTTGTATTCTCAAATCTCTTAACGACTTCTTATTTATGTAATTTTTCCTTCCGCCTCAAAGTTTAGGTATCAAGTTCAAAGTCACCATCAAAACAAAATAACACAACAACAACAAACATTAAACGTCATAATAACACCCACTTGCAGGCGAATGGAACGCACACACACACAACACGTTTCACTCACACACTCAATTTACGCATATCATCATCATCGTCATACTGCTCAAAGTTATGGCAGACATGGAACCTATTTCTCAGACAATCAAACAACAGCCAACCACCACCCAGCTCCACACGCACGCACACATACAGGCCATTAAGGCAACAGTACACAGACAGAAAGTAACAACAACACTCCAAAATATTGTAAACACATGTATGAGTGTGGGAGCATACGCACACACTCACACCATCAAACATAGAGGGACGTAGTAGTAGACAAAGCCAACAACGGCTACCATGAATGAACCGAATGAATGAGAAATAAGGATATAAACAGGCTCTAGGAAGTTTAGTAACCGAACAAAAACGAAACGACTGCCAGACAGACACTCAAATCACGCACACATTTATATACCGAAAAAATATAGGCTCACACATACACACACACCAATACACAATAAATAGGAACTTTTGCACACATTGCCATTTGCATGTGCCATTGTGTGTGTGTGTCTTTGTCGGTGTGTGCGCTAAGGACATTGACATTGTCCTACAAACGTAACAATTTTAGTCAAAGTAACAACAACAAAAAATTATTTGTAGAAATTCTATATTACTGTAACACGCCGCACTCTGCCACACCTCCGCCTCCCCCCAAATCCGGCATGCCCCAAACATTTCGTTTACAACTTGAAAGCCGGCAATTTGTGTGTACGAGAGTTTATAGGGCGGAGGAGACGAGCAGACGAGACAGACGAGACAGACACACACACCCAGCCACCCACAAAACTGTGTCTAGCACATTCTCTTTGTAGTCCTCTTTGTAACTGGGCCAACAACAGCAGCAGCAGTTATGGCACAGTCTGGCCGGGTAAGCAAAGCGAGTTTGAGTTAATGGATCCGCAGTGTTGTAGGTTGTGTTGTCTGGTGGGAGGTTTTATTTGGGTTTTTTGCCCTTTCTACAAGGCAATCGAAAATTGTGGCGGCAAAATGCATGCTCAAAGAATATTTGTTGTTGTTGCTGTTGAACTTATGACGATTTGAGATATTATTTTATAATACCGATTCTATGAAATAGGGTCAGTGTACTTTGGGGAAAAATGTGGAAGTGGATTGGATTTCCTACGAAAATTCCGCGAAAAGGAAGGGAAATATGTTTTGACTGAAAACCTACTAAATGGCCTCTTGGGAGTGAAAAAATTATATAATCTTACATTAAATCAGAGATAAACATATTTTTTGTATTATCCACCAAGGAAAAACTTGACCTTATGGTAAAAAATTCGAAAAATGTAATAAATAATAAAATAAAAAAACTATAAAACTGTTTTAAACCATTTACACAAAGCTGAATTCAAAAAGAAGGTCGATGTTAGGGCGCCATACCATTTAACAGAAAAATGGGATGGAACGAATTTCCATCTGCGAAGCCCATTTCTTAAACGGATGGTGACTGGAGATGAGAAATGGCTCAGATACGATAACCCTGTGCGAAAACGATAGCGGTGAAGCACCTCAAAGGCGGCCAA